TGAACCAGCAGCTGTTATTGAACAAGATAGAGATGAACCTGGAGCTGAACAGGAAGATAAACCTGAACCAACAGGAGAAGTTGAAGTAGCAGATGAAGCTGAACCAGAACCAGATGATATAAGTTCACCTGTTGCTGCTCCACGGAGATCAACCAGGACTAGAAGAGAGCCAGATTGGTTAAGAAGTGGAAATTATGTGCGATTACAACAAGCCACTATTGATCCGCATTGGACTGAGAAAGTATCATTGCTACAGAACATTTTGCAGGATGAGCGTTGTCAAGGACTAGAACGAGGTGAGATTTTAAAAACTTTACTCGATATTGTTAAGAAAACTTAAATTTGTAAATTTCAGTATGATTTTAATATGGTTTTTAATTTTAATATGATTTAATTTACATTCTTTGTATGAGAATGACGAGGACGTCATTTTTCGGAGGAGGGGAAGAATGTAGCAGTGTGTTTTTAATTGTATATATTATAAAACATACAATAAGGAATAAATAGGTATATTATTGATATACCGGGTAAATGAAATTGAGTCTAATATAAAACCTAGATCCACCCCTTTACAAATACTTGTGAGCGATAAAGTTCAAGGTCATTCTCTTGGGGTTCTGTCTTTTTATTGGTTGTGGTTCTGAGTAGTTCTCAGTTACTAGAGTCAGACTACTCAGAGGTTTTGGCCAGGTTGGCTGTGTAAATTTACAGAGTTGTTTAGACAAAGAATTTTAAAGACTTTCATGACTTGAGACCTTTAGAACAGACCTGGAAGTAAGTATTTACTCTATTAACATTTTTTATCTTTATAATACCTTTATTTAGCTAATATCACTGTTTAAAAGAAGAGTGAAAGGTTAAATAATGAATTAAAGCTTAATCTTCAGTTTATCATCACAGAGAATATATTTATTAGAATCATGAGTATTGTATTATATATAGTACAGTTTGTAGTATTTCTTATTAGATATGTAAGCTGAAGCATCCAGTAGTTTTTGGTGTTTTAAGGAATGGACCTTGTCCCATAGATAGGTAATTAGCATATGTTACCTTTTGTATATTTTAAAGTAATAATATAATATCATTGCATTAATTGAGATGTGATTGTAAAATATATGTGTAAAGATTAACTGTACAGTGATTTATTTATATGCTAAATATTTAAATTAAAAGAGATAACTCTTAACTGATAAATTTATCTTTTGTACATCAAAATAAGTAAAATAGAATACATGTATACATTTGTTATTATTTCATGTGATATTCATTGTTATTGTTTTATTTTATAGGGCCATTCATTTACTTGATGAACATCCATATTAAATACATATGAACCCTTAGGCAGGAGTTGGTTGTCATTACATCATATATATATAAACCACCCCTGCAACATAAACACTGTTTTAAATTTAAGTAAAAATTTCGTCTTAAATTTAAGATTTAGACTTAGCTAAGATCACGTACTTAAGTGGATCACAAAACTATCTTAGCAAAAACTTAGTAAAAATTTGTCTTAGCAAAAATCTTACCATAAAATCTTATATGTCATAGTAACGAGAAACTCTACGGATTTCAAAGACGATGGAAATCTGTCAGTGGTCTGACCAGGAAATCGAGGATCGTGAAAGAAAGAAGACGCTAAAAATCTAAACTATTTTACACGTCTGCATAATTTTACTATCACGTTCAGTAAAAAAGAATATTATTTTGGTACATGTATCTCCATAATTATACACTTTCAATTGTTGTTTTTTTTTCATTTAAAAAGGGTTGACAAATTTTAATTGGTTTTCTCTCTTAAGGTATATATTTATTGGAAAAAAATAATGAAATTTAACTTAATTAATTAACAAATAAAAATTGAAAAACTTGAGGTATTCTACGAAATCTTGTAAGAAAAAAATTAATTGAAAATGAAGACATTATTTTTGTTGCAGTTAACCTGAGGGATATATCAATACATAAAATTAATTTCTTATAGGGTTCCCTGGTGTGTTGGGATGTGTTCATGGAACGTTTATCGATAAAAAGTGGACAGGCGTCCCAAGTTTTAATTAACAGGTTAGAAGTTGTAAATTAATCATGATTTTATAAATATTAATTTCTCTTTGGACTGTTAAGCACCACTGTTTTGGTGCACGTGGTGTGCTCGCCATACTGGAAAATGGGTCACAACCTCGAGAATAGAATATGAACTGCACCGTTCACAAATGCCTACAGGAGCAGCTCCGTTCCGATGTGACTTCTCTAAAAACCTAGAGTCGTGAGTAAGATACCGCTGCCACAACGCCAATAAGAGTGAGGTATAAGGTTTGAGAATTCCCAACACATGTGGATGGTACAAAGCGCGCACTTTTAATAATGCAGCCGGAAACGACGAAAATACACATAACAATAATTACAAAGGTGGAAATAATATTTCAGGAGAGTGCCAATGTCTGGCGTAGAAAAAGAAGTGTGGCCTCTTGGTAAGTTACTTAGGAGAGTACAAACACACAAGCCCCTGACGTTACTTATTTTTCTTAAAATAAAATAAATAATTCCCCTATCTATAACATTTTGAACCTTTCGTGACAGTATCTTTTTTAAATTTCTAATGGAAGCAACTGTAATGACGTTTTTATTTCGTTAATTTAAATGTTAAGGTCCATTTTTTTCATACCGGAATAAAGGATTTTTCTCAAGCATTAATTTCTTCGGGAAACGGGAGGGGGTTACATTGTTGTCCATAATACTAAACACTGTCTTAAATTTAAGTAAAAATTTTGTCTTACTTTTAAGATTTAGACTTAGCTAAGATCACATACTTAAGTGGATCACAAAACTATCTTATCAAAAACTTAGTATAGATATGTCTTAGCAAAAATCTTACCATAAAATCTTATATGTCATAGTAACGAGGAACTCTACGGATTTCAAAGACGATGGAAATCTGGCAGTGGTCTGACCAGGAAATCGAGGATCGTGAAAGAAGACGCTAAAAATCTAAACTATTTTACACGTCTGCATAATTTTACTATCACGTTCAGTAAAAAAGAATATTATTTTGGTACATGTATCTCTATAATTATACACTTTCAATTGTTGGTTTTTTTTTCATTTAAAAAGTCTGACAAATTTTAATTGGTTTTCTCTTTAAAGGTATATATTTATTGGAAAAAATTAATGAAATTTAACTTAATTAATTAAAAAATAAAAATTGAAAAACTTAAGATATTCTACGAAATCTTGTAAGAAAAAAATAAATAGAAAATGAAGACATTATATTTGTTGCAGGTAACCTGAGGGATATATCAATACATGAAATTAATTTCTTATAGGGTTCCCTGGTGTGTTGGGATGTGTCCATGGAACGTTTATCCGGATCCGAACGCTCAATGAAAATGAACCTGATTACGTCAACAGAAAAGGATACCATTCCTTTAATGCCACGGTAATTATTATTTTTTTAAATTAATTTCTTATAGGGTTCCCTGGTGTGTTGGGATGTGTTTATGGAACGTTTATCCGGATCCGAACTCCCAATGAAAATGAACCTGTTTACGTCAACAGAAAAAAATACCGTTCCTTTAATGTCACGGTAATTATTATTATTTTTTTTAATTGATTTTGAATGAAAATTGTTTTATATTAAAAGAGGTAATAAATAAGCATATAATTCAATACGTGATAACATATAATATTTATATAAACAGGTATGCAACAAATCCACTTATACAAAAATAACATTGATTTTAAAGAGAGATAATATATTGGAAAAATCAGCAAAATAAAAAAAATTCAAACATATTTCAGATGACCTTTGATGCCAATTTCATTGTTACTAACTGGGTTGCAAAATGGCCAGGATCCTGTCATGATTCAAGAGTCTTTGGAGAAAGTGTTACCTGTCAGCAGGTTAAGAAGGGTAAATATTCCATGCAGTTAATAATTACATCTTTAAAGCTAAGAAAACCATTACCTACATTGTAAATATTCTTATATGGATTTGTGGGGCTGAAATGCGGATCAACATCCCACCCCTGTTCTTGTTTGCGAGAATATGCAAAACGTTCCTGCTTTTCAAGCAAATCAAGAATATACTCAGCAACTCATGACAAAAAGAAAACTTCATGAATAACTACAGACGCGCCAAAAGGTTAATATATTTAATGAATTTATCCATTTATGAATGAAGTAATGAGAGAGGAAATAATACCAGTTGGTACTCGTGTGGACATTGTGACATTCTCCAAAGTCAAAGAGAATGTGTGTGTTATAAGGAATTCGAGCATTATGCGGAAAATTACATTTCATCTGTATGTCCGTGTATTTCACAGCATAGTAACTATGACAAAGTGAATTTAACATAGTGTGTTTAAATAAAGTAGTTCTTGAAACAGCATATATTGCATTTTAACGATAAAAAGTGGACAGGCGTCCCAAGTTTTAATTAATAGGTTAGAAGTTGTAAATTAATCATGATTTTATAAATATTAATTTCTCTTTGGAACATATTTCAGCATCATAGATTGGTACACCTCGATATATCCTATGTGACAAAAATGATTGAGCTGTTTTAAATTCTTTTGTATTCGTTTGTCCATTACAAATTTTTCTAGTGCGGAGGACAACCACATTCAGTGTATTTTCCTCATTTAAGGTGTGGGCATTCTGAATAAGGTGTAAAATGGGTGTCCACATTTCAATCAGAAGCTCCCGATCTCCTCCACATTCTGCAACACAATACTAAACATGACTTATTATGCTCCGTCCCCAAGGCATCAAATCTTTATTTTCTTTGCTGCAACCTACTTTTTTTGACGAATGCTATTTGCCATATGCCAGACATCAAATTGATGGAATACATGCGGCAATTGCATGGTCCTTTAAATAATTTCTTATTAGTGCATGCATGTCACTGCAGAAAATTTTGATATTGTCGTGAGACGAGTAAAACAATATAGACTGTTCTCGAATATTATTCATATATTCATTGACCCGAGGTCAAGCTCTTGAAAACGAGGCTAAGCTAGGTCAGCGTCAGCATCAACATGGAGTCAAACAAAAACTGCGCAACAGTTTCTAAGCGAGACGAATATTGTTGCGTGCCTTTGTGTAATGGGAATGCCAGAATTCACCATGATCTCAGTTTCCATCATATTCCTAAAAATCTAGAGATGCGGAAGAAATGGCTCGTTGCTATACGACGCGACGAAGGACCCCAGTTCAAGGTACAGTGCAAATTTATACTGACCTACCGGTACGGACACATGCGTAATAAGACGTCAATAAAATTATATGACTTTATAATTTTCATGAAAAATGTATTCATGGCAGTTAATCTACAAGTTGATTAAAGCATATTTAATGCCTAATCATCAGATTATGGACGTGCACCAATGTATTTCGAATTTCCTTGAACATGTTGAATGACCCTGCAAAACTGAAAGTAGGCTAGCGAACGTTTATTCTATTGTATTTTAGTGAAGTTGTGTAGAATTTCCTATATAGTTTCTGTGTCATAATTCCAAAACATAAAAATTTTCTTTAGATTGGAAAAAACACAGTGGTGTGCTCCAGACATTTCAAGGAACAAGATTTTCGCTGGACACCTAATAGAAAATGCCTAACAAAGGATGCAGTTCCATCAATTTTCGACTGGACTTCCACTGTCAGAAGTAGAAAGATGCCATTACTTAGACAACCTTTGATAACCCTACATAAAGACAAAAATTCAGCAGAATTAGATAAAATAATATCTGATGCCAGTGATTCTGAAGCTGAAAATGATGAGATACTAGAGGGGAATCACAGTGATAAGTATGTTAAAATTCAACAATAATACATTAAATCTTAATCATCTACTGAAAAAGATCAAACATCTTATTTCAATAAAAATGAGTAACAATACATTTCCAAAACATGAAATGGAAACACATGGTAATTAAATCTAAGGCAATTTTCATGATTTTTAAAACAATATATTTGAAAAATTTTATACAATTAACTTTTGCAGAGAAGATGAGGTTGATAACATTCATTTAAGCTGCCAAAGAAAAATGCGTGAACTACAATTGCTGATTGAACAAAAAGAAAGTGAAATCAAAAGGAAAAATGAAGAGTTTTCTGATCTTCAACAGAAATATCACTTGGAACGGTTTGGTGTGACTCGATTTTCCTTCGACGATGACTTGATTGAATTTTATACTGGATTTCCAAGTTATAAAGTATTTTCTATATTTTTTTCTGCATTAAGACCAATCGCTTCAAGAATGAAAAGTGTTTATTATAATTCTGTAGATGACGTTAACATTAGGGGGCGCCCAAAATCGATGGACCCTATTGATGAACTGTTTATGTTCTTATGTCGATTAAAGTGTGGTTTTCTCACCGAGGATTTGGCTGTCCGATTTAACATTCATGCATCAACTGTAAGCCGTAAAATAATTACATGGACAAATTTCTTATATTTCATCCTTGGTAGCATTAATATCTGGCCTGAAAAAGAAAGAATTCAAGAACACATGCCAAATGACTTTCAAATTCAGTACCCTCACACTCGTGTTATTTTAGATTGCACAGAAATCTTTACCGAGAAACCTTCCTCTTTAGCGCTCGCATCAAAAACATTTTCCTCCTACAAAAGCCACAATACCTGGAAAGGACTAGTAGGAATTGCACCTCATGGAGCAGTGACCTTCATTTCTTCACTATACTCAGGGTGCATATCAGACTTAGAAATCACTAAATACTCTGGGATTCTTGACCTATTAGAACCTGGGGATCAAATCATGGCTGATAAGGGATTTGTTCTTGACAAGCTTTTGAAAGATGGTGTTACTATTGCAACTCCACATTTTCTTTGTAGTGATGGACAGTTTTCAACTACTCAGATACAAGAAAATCAAAAAATTGCCTCTCTTAGGATTCACGTAGAGCGCCATATAAAAAGAGTAAAGGAATATCGCCTTTTGCAGTCTACTGTTCCTCTTTCTATTGCAGGATCGATTAATCAATTATGGACAATTGCAAATCTACTTACTCTGTTTCGTAGACCTTTAATAAAACAAAAAAACTGAAAAAAGCATTGTTGTCTTCTTTTAATTATTGTAACTTTTCTTTCACCCATTTTCTTTAATTCAAGTAATAATCAAAGAAAAATGCATCTAATTTATCTTTTGCTTGTTGCCAAAAATCTTCATCAAAATAAATGGTTTCCAAATGCACATCGTTCTCCAGCCAAACAAAAAAGTCACACCAAGACAAACCTGTCACCGCCATTTGTGTTTGAATTTGATAATAATAATTGTCATTTGTCTTCAGTCTCAATTGTCCATTAGTGTTGGTTAGACATTTCACTTTTGTTAAGTCGTCAGTATTTGGGCATTTGATTTCAAGTAGTCCATAGGACGGATTTCTGTTAGGCATGTACAGTTTTCTGTCTGGTGTTGCAGCAATCCAATGGCAGTAGGGACTGACAATCACTCCGCAAGGAAAAATATTCACCTCATTGTCCATTTTCTGAAAATTAACAAATTGATTACAAGTCATATTATTAATATTGATTAACATGATTAAAATATCAGAAATTTTGGTTGAAACAAGACTCACTTAATTTAACTCAACTTAAACTGAAATTAAAACCAAGAAGAGAGAAAAAAAACAATATTTAACATGTTAATGAATATAATTACTTAGGGGGGGGGGGGTGTTCTTATCATTTGCATGTGAGCAGTCTTAAAAAAAGTGTTCATTGTTTTGCAAAAAGAAAGTGTTATTTTTAAGCAATTTATTTACCTGCACTATATAAATGTGCCTATATCATATAGAGAATAATACATACTTTTTTTCCATATCACATCTTGTATCACAGGAAACACCAATACATTGCGTCAGCCAGAAGGCTGAAGGCCTGAGGGCTGATACAGGATGTGATGTGGAAAAGGGAATGTTTTATTATGTTTATTACATTCTTAGTTCATGTAATAAAATACATTACACAATAAATTGAGAAGAAAATAGGTAAATGATCATGCACAGACTTCTTAAGTGTACATGTACACGGTCTATTGTCTCATACAGTTTGTAGTAACGTTATTTTAAGTTTAAAAGTTAATTTACTCAATTTTATTTAGATATACGTGTAAAATAATTCTTTAAAAACATTTGCGGACTTAATATTTTTTACTGTTACCTAAAATTGGCTGAATTAGATTTTAAAGAGAAAGTTCCTAAAAATGCACGAAACATTCTTCAGTTACTGTATGTGAACTTGCATATTGCGTATGTTAAATATATGATAAATAGAATACTACATACTTAAATTTATATCATATGTCACATCAGCCCTCGGCCCCATATCAGCCCATGGGCCTTTGGCCCTCAGGCTGATATGGAGCCACTCGGGCTGATGTGACATATGATATGGATTTTAGTATGTAATATTCTCTATGTATCAGCCCTGCAAAACCATATCAGCCCTGCAGGGCATGTAAATGTTACTATACAGGACTGTCACCAAAAAGATACAATAAACATCAATTAAATACCTCGCTGTATGCTTGCGCAGCCACATCTTCACATTCGATGCCCCGTTTCATGGCTGCAGTCTGCACATGTCGTGTCGATTTCAACCGGTCAGCAAGTTTTTCACCATCTGAAAGCATAGATCTATTTAAATCTACTAGAATAAATTGTAAGGCAAGATAAACAGTCATGATAAAATATACAACTTTCCCGTACACTCATAAAAAATGAGAAAAAACATGACTATTACATAGGAGGCAGATCAAAGCTATCAAAGTCATATTCTAATGCTTTTTTGGTAAAAAAATTTTGATTTGCTATAAAATGCACAAATATTTGTCCATGAGGCAGTTAACCAAGCATTAATGAAAGTGAAAGCTTTGTGTTGTGAAATCATAAATTGATAATAGAGCAGCGCAAAAACACAATGCTCCATGACGTATTTTATATTAATACTGTAACAAAACTCAACAAAATCACGTTAACATCATAGATTACATGAGAAAGGGAATAACTTTCTTCTAATTTGGTATTTGAGACCTTAAATGCTAATTTACCGGTTGCAAATACCGAATTATAAGATGATTATTCCGTAAATTTTAAAAAAATATTCATAAAGATGAAAATTCAAGAAATGTGTGCATAAATACCTGCTCTTCGCTTGGCTATTTCCCCAGCCTTGGAAGCTGTAATCCTGTCTCTCCTTATTCTATGCCACTTTGGATCCTGAGACTGGAAACGCGTAAGCTCTTCAATTTCTTTGCTTTCTACTTCTGAAACCTTAAGAGATTCCAAGCTTTTCATCTGCTGTTCTGTCAAAACGAAGTTTACATTGTTCAACATAACATTTTTAGCTGGCAAGATAGGAAACGTATTATTATCTACCAGGTTCACAATGTAACCACCAGACAGTTTTTGTTGATAGCTAATAGGGCTTCCCTTTTGAAATTTTCCAAATCTAGTATCTACTGTAACAGTATCAGAACTTTCACCAACAACTGTATTGAACAAAATGTTAGTGTCTGCCATTTTATCAAGTAGGGTGTTTATGTCAACGGATTCATTTTTTGAAACCGGGTTATATAAAGTCGACTTAATCCCTTTGGTACGTCGAAGTGGGTTTTCTTTGTCATAGCCCCGAATAGTCAAGTTGTCTGTTTTCTCCCCTCGTAGTTTTTCCCCCCTGGGCACATGCCAAGTCTGTGGCAAGGAGGTTTTTGCTATATCCGTTGGAATCAGTGTTAAGTTCATCTTTTTATAATGGGCAATTTGATACAGCAAAGCACTGACATGTCCACAATTACCACTCTGTCCAATAGTGCATGAGCAAAATGAATGCTCTATTTTATCACTGTTTATCAAAACCTGTAGATTAAATATAAAAATAAATAAAAGGGGATTGGTCATTTTTTTTTTTTTTGTCACAGAACCCTTTGATTTCTATTTTAAATGAACAAAACTAATTGAGAATAGTTTTTAATCTAAATCTATAATCTATACATGTACCTTCATTTCATGTGGGCTCTCATTTTTCCTCTGAGACCTGTAGCATTTTGCCCTTATCAGACAACCAGCTTCATCCGAAAAAACTGCAAAAAATCCCAAAATTGCAACATTTCAAAAAAAGTTATTTAATTAACCGTAATTATCGTATATAAACAAGAATTTAAAGTTAAAGGGCCTGAATAAAAACCTTAAAAACTTGTCGCATATCAGTAAGTGGGTCAAAACAGATGGATCTATTGTATATGCCTGTATGCATGTCAATGATCAGCTGATCGACTGTAGGCCCAAGTGTATGATTAACAATTGCCAGATCATGTAATATGTACATAACAGCATGATTTGGCAATCTCTAAAGGAATAAAATCTTCCAAATACATTAATCAAATATTAAAATGTAGTGTTCGTTTTTAAATCATTCAACATATCCGTTTGCGCGAATACACAACGTGACATAGGCCTACTATCATCAGATCAAGGTCACTATTAATAACTTACCGGCAACAGAATGCTTAAATCCTTTTGACATTTGTTCTTTTCCGGAGCTACCATGTCTACTTCTGATGAAATTTTCCACGAAAGAAAAGGAAATGTCTGGCACAATGGAAAGGTCTCTCGTTGACGAACTACTGGAGGCTGCCATATTGTTTTCATTCGCTGCCTAGCTTAGCCTCGTTTTGGATTTTTTCATGAATATTTATTAGACCTTTTTAAGAAACGTCTATAATCGTCAAGAGGTAATGATATGTATTACCTACAAACCTGGTTACACACAACAAACAAGGGCCGGAAAGTAGGATGTAGGTCATTGTATAATATTCGGCACTCCGGATCCGAGCCCGACGAGGTATATATACAAATGGTACTTGTACCACACTGTTGATGTTATTATTAATAAGAGAAATGAAAGCGCGTTTGAATCCCTCCCCAGCTCAATACGGGATGTTGAACTAGATTCTGTAATTTGAATGACTTTCAAATCGAGTATTGCATTTGTGTGTGTCATTGTGATGACGTTTCATAAATTGAAATATCGATGATTATTTATTGAGTGTGACGTCATAATATCAATTAAACCGTCGATATACAAGGGTGCATTCGATTATAAGAACTCTTCAGACACTAGTGTCATTGTTGAACACGCGCAATAGAGTATGTAATCGAATGCCTCGAGTCGAGCTCCAATGTAAACAAATATGGCTGATAACGTCGGATTAGTGTTTGCGGTCGATTACTTTCTTGCGAAAGAGGACATAGACGATGATGACGATGATATTGTCCCATATTTTTTTGTTTACTTTATCAGAAGAGAGCGTGTCCCATCTATAAGAATATTCTACGAAGAAGTGTTACCAGATTTCTCTTCTCTTGACTGTAGTAAACATTTTAGACTAACAAGGCAAACCTTCACACGCTTATTCCAAGAGACAGAACCAAATCTAGCCAAGGATATTCGGACACAGGGCAAACAATCCATATTGACGGAGAAACGTGCCGTGGTAGGACTGTGGTATTTATGTAATACAACTTCCATGAGAGAAATTTCTTAACTGTTTGGAATTTCACAGTCCACAGTTTTTGACTGTGTTCATGACTTTTGTGATGCATTATGCTCAGTTCGGGATCGAGTTATATCTTGGCCAGGTCCCAAGCGTCAGCAAGAAATTTCTGATCACTTTGAGGCCGAATGTAAAATACCAGGAATCATAGGGATAATTGATGGCAGTCACATTACTCTTACAAACATTCCCAATGGAGATCAAGTCTACATCAACAGGAAAGGGTATCCCTCACTCCAGTTGCAAGTTATTGTAGACCATATGTTACTTATTACAGATAGCTTTGTTGGATGGCCAGGGTGTACCCACGATGCCCGAGTTTTCAGAAATTCGTATATCATTAATGAGTTGGAAAATGGAATTTTAAATCCACACTTTTTCATAATTGGTAAGAAAATTTTAACTGAGTAAAATGTTTCAAAATTAAAGCACATTAATTAAGATTTCAACAAGGATACCTCTAGATCTTTGTTCTTTTTGTCAAACTTATTGGGGTTAACAAAGAAAATAGTAACTATATAAGTAGGTTAATATGCATGGTTTTCCTATTTTAATAAATTTTAATGTATACATATTGTAAACCTATAAGGGTTTGGGACAAATATTTTTATTAGTAAAATAAACATTATCAATTATTTACAATGTACTTATTAGAGTGCATTGACCCCTAATTCAAGAAGGATGCAGAAGTGTAACACTTTTCCGTAAAAGTAAACAAACAAGTTAATCGGATTAAAGACTATATAACATACCAGGATGTTTATCTATCTTCGGACATGAAGCCCGGAACAATAACTGGACATTATTAAAGTTAATATTAAAGTTATACTTACTTTTGCCTAATACAAGGGCACTGATCACTAGTTTACAAAAACTTATGTTTAAATTATAAATTGTTTTGTCAGAATTCCAGGATTGAGATCCATTTATTGAATAACTTGTTTATCGTATATGCAAATGACTATTATGTATTGTACATTATAAATACTATCTACGGTGATCTACGATTTATCTCTTGATCTCTTTGCTCTTAACCACTATATGATCATTGTTTGTATTCTTTGAAAATTTCATAATTGTTAAATAAATTCTAAGAAAAGACTATTTTCCTTCTTCATTGGTTCACAATATACAAGAAACTTAGTTTAGTTTTTCAAAACATTACAGGAGATTCTGCCTACCCACTGAAGCCTTACCTGATGACCCCTTTCCGTGATAATGGAAGGTTAACTGCCCCCCAGAGACATTATAATAGAAAGTTATCAACATCACGTCAATGTTGAAAGAGCCATTGGCCTACTAAAGTGTAGATTCAGAAGGCTCACAAGCCTACCCTGCTTGGATATAGAACGTGCTTGCAAAGTAATAACTGCATGCTGTATTCTTCACAACATTTGCATTCTATCAAATGACCCTGTTAATGACATGCTGGATGACCTCCCTCCAATAATAATGTCAACAACTATGGACCATTATATGGAAATGCACCCCTTGGTATAAACTTTTTTAATCAGATAGTTCAGTATCTACAAACATTGTAAAATCTAAATATTGTGCATAAGAGAAAAGACAATGATTAGAGACAAGATTGTATTTGAAAATGAAAGTTTAATAAAATTAGAAGTTAAACTTTATAACCATGTATTGTTTTCAATAAACAACTTTTAAAAAAAATTTACAGGGCCTATTTGGCATATCACAAATGTAAATTAATCTTTAAAAAAAGTAAAGAATTAAAGCATTAAATATTGTCAATCCATTGCTCTAATGAAGTGTTAACCATGTGATGGAATTCTAATGTGGGGACACATACATTGTTCCCTATTTGTATATTGCTATAGTCTGATTCTACATTGAAACATGTCTCTTTAAGCAAAGTGTCTGGCGTAAAACACTTTGTAGACATTTCACAAGAGAACTGAGATTCAGGCAAAGCAGAGCAATATGAACAATATGAAAAAGGTGAATCAAAGCACTCTGTTGCTTTTGGTGATTGAAAAATAAACATATGCAAGTCCTTGTAGCAATCCTCAACGTTCTTGGTAAACTCATAAAATTCAACTAAGTTGTATCCAAATCTTTCAAATAATCTACAAAGACACAAAGATAGTAATTGTTTACAAATTCTTCACTATTAATTTTACTGATCATTTTTAGGAATTTTTGGTTTCAGACAATCGATAAACTTTCCCATAAGATTCATTTTTTCCTCGTGTTGTTTTTTTGAAACCTCCAACCTTTCTTTCCTGTATTCCTCTTGTCTTTTCGTGTACTCTTCCAAAGCAAGTAATGCAGACTGATTCGTATTCCTACGTTTGAGGGATTTCTTCGGTTGTGGAGTGCTGCTATCTGACGAATTAGAATCTCTGGAGTCCTCTGCTTCAACATCTTCATTATCTTTGTTATTTTCTGTCTTGTTGTTTTGTCGCGCACTCTTGAAGACAGTGTAAATGCTGGTCTCGTACCACTTTTGTTTCCATAGAGTACAGAAAATTGTTTAAAAAAATGGCATGTTTTTTCTCTGATCCTGTCTGTACATTATTGTCCACCGTTTTCTTGTATTCCCTTTTAAGCGCCTTCCACTTATTCATGCACTGTGTTGCTGATGCTGTAACACCAACAGCAGATAATTCCTTGGCAATGGTTTCCCAAAGACTCTTGTGCACTTTGTTGCTGTTAAAGTCTTTCTCCATTCTACTTCTTATATCGAATAATATTTAAGTGTCTTGTTTATTCTACATTTTTTGGTCCAGTGACTCAGATTCTGCATCTGCACTGCACGGCACTGCACTGCATGATTTTGCATTGAATTAATTTTGGATTGAATTAATGTTTTTGAGAAAGCGCACAATTGTTCGCAGAATTTGCTTTTCCCTTCGTTAATAGCAATGACGGCAGCACTCTGCGGACCCCAAACTAGAGTTCTCGGGAATGGGGAAGCATTTTCGGCACCTTTAAATTCGTTTATGTTCATTGTCGCAGATCCTGGCGCGGGGAAATCTACGTTATATGAAAAAGTTATGTAGTCTGTCTTCGATAAATATACAGAAATAACGGGGAAAAAATTCAAATTGAAAATTATACGACGGCTGGGGTTCACAAACAGCAAATAGAAAACAATGGATATGGAATAATTACAAGTGATGAAGGACACTGATTTATTTCATCTGTTAATACCCAGCAGGGGAAAGGTGAAGGCGAGAGAACGTTTCTTTGCAAGTTATGGAATGGTAAGGGAGATTTCACGAGCTTAGCAAGTGGCACAAGACGGTTCAAGGAAACATCAATGTCACTATTTCTCATGATTCAACCACAGCCATTTCTCTCAGTATTAAGATCAATGATTTCAGGCGATGGGCTATTAGACAGGATCCTTTTATTTTCTACTTGCCCAACGATGAGCAGTAGTGCCACTGTTAGGGAAAATTTTTCTATTCTGAAAGAAAGTTCGATGCAGTCTTTCATAGAGGTAATGATGAACATTTAAGATGACTATAAGGATGGAATAATATACATGTATATTTCTTGCTCTAGTGTAAGATAATGGCTTATTACCCTTCCTAAGATTATAAGAATTTGACTTCTTACAGAAAAATACTCATCTAAAAATTATTTGGAAGAAAGCAAAATATTGCTTTGAATAAATATCTTTCTAGCATAGCTACTGGGCATGTACCAATGGGAGTTGTTGGAAATAACTGCAGTGTTCGTGCTTTATATATATCAGTTAAAGTGATTTCCTAATAGTATATAGATGACTAAATCACTTTTAGTAAAAATAATGTATTGATTAGAAACAATTGCTTAGATAATATAACAAAATCAGGGAGCTCTCAAATCATGGCCTGCACCTGGCTTGGCGGAAACGCGGGAAGAGAGAGAGATATGGGCTCCCGAGCCCGAACCCAATTACAAGTTAAAAACACCCCCCAAATACACTACATTCCCCCCCCATTTTGTGGAGGAATGTCCCAATTCCGACCAAGTGGAGGCCATTTACAATATATATCAGCACATAACACTTTACAAAGATAATGAGTTAACCTCCTATGATTTACATTACAAATGAATTATTTAATATAATCCACAATAAATCATCAATGTCCAAACTATGGATAGCTGTAAAACATAAACAGTCCAAATGAACACAAATTCTGGATCCTCTAGACTGGCTGCAGCAGGCGGTATTAGCGAACACGACTGCCTGGATCCTCCCTGGGCTCCGAACACAGGACACCATCAGACACATGGATTAGGACAGTAGGACACTCCGACACTGCAAATCAATTTGAATACAAACATGTATTTGCCCCGCTCAGAGAGCAAGGGGCATGGACATCCTTAGGCTACTTAAACTTCTTTGCCTTACACCTTTTACGCCCCTGACTCGCAGAAGCCTGGGGCTTGTAAGGTGGCTCTGGCTTGTTCTAACATCTTTCAGCCCGACCACTTGTCCCTGTGTAAGGTGCTTCCTTGTTACCACAGGACTTCATATGTCTCTCTGTGTCCACAGGAGCAACAGCCTGCACAGCGTTGATACTTACTTTATGCATAGCCTGTGAGGTCTTGCAACTCTCAACTCTAAACTCACCAGCACTACAGTGCAGTTCAACCCCAGCCTCCTGCATAAAGTCAATGCCCAAGAGCATGTCAACTTGCAAAGGTGCAACATATACCGGGTGTTCAAGCTGCATGCTCCCTATTTCAATGGGTAAAGAACCCAGAGCGCCTACCGCCATGGTCACCCCGCCCCCAGCCAGGTCCACCACTGTCCTTGCTTTAATCTCTGGGGGCGGAGACATTCTGTCATAGAATGTCTGCGATATAGTAGTTATCTCGGCAGCAGTATCAACAACAGCGCTAACCTTGTGGCCATTCACAGTTACAGGCACATGCCATGCACTTTTTCCATAGCCAAGACTTGACGATGCAGACTGAGTAACCCCCACTGGTGGGGATTCTGGTGTGCACACCTGCTTATCCTCAGTCCGTTTACTTTTACCTTCCTTTGAAGGACCTGAGGACTCAACTCTATTCGGGCACTCACGACGGAAATGCCCAGGCTGATGACAAGCGAAACACAGACCAGATCGTCGTCGTCGTTTGCGTGGCTTGGGGGAGGAATCTCCATCTTTGCCGCGAGAGGTCTTTTGCTTATTACTTTGTTTCGACTTGTCGTCCAAACTTTGCTTCCACGCCTTCTGATGTCTATAGGTTTCAAATGACCCCTTATATTGAGCTGGTGCGGGAGATCTCGACAGACCCGCACCTGGCGACTGGCTTTCTAACGAGACAGAGCGAATTCCTCCACTATGCTGAGGGATAAAGGCTTCGCGGCTTAGCTGAAACAACTTTACTTGCCTAACAGCCTCATCTAGATTAACAGGGGGGCTGTCTATTAGCCGTCTGCCTGCGCGCACATCCGTGCAGCCCATCGCAAACCGCAGGACTGCTTGCTCCTGGAGCACTTGTCCCGAGACTCTAGCCCCTAGAGCGCGTTGCGCGGTTTCCATGGCACGTTCACCCCACTGCTCTAGACTCTCATCAGTCCCTTGAGTCATGGAGTTAAACTCCACTTGCGACGCAGCCTGCAATGTACCCTTTCCAAAGCGTTGCTCGAATCGCAATGCTATTTCCCGAAAAGTCATATGCTCACCCCGTGAGGAGAGCAGGTAGAAATACCTTAGTGCTGGTCCCTCGACAGAGACACTGAGAGCCAATAGACTATCATCATCGTCCCATCTATAATATCTTGCCAAGGTCCGAAATTTAGCAAAGAATAAACCCCACTCTAAACTTCCATCATACTTAAGACACTTCGCCTCTGCTGGGATATTACGCCAAAATCCTAGCGAGTCACTACGAGATGAATCCAAGAGTATTCCAGGGCTTCCTAAAGAAGTACTTTCCCTGCCACAGAGAGGCGCACCTGATACATTACTCTCCTTTGGCCCAAGCTCCACAACTGGACTCCCCAAAGTGACCACTGGCAAAGCCTTCATGCGTTTCTGACCCCTATCATACATCTGCCCCGATGCAGAACATGAGTGACTTGGAGTCCCGGGGCATTCTCTACTTGCATCTGCCCCCTGAGGCATGGCGTAATCCGACCTACCCAGATGTGATGGACATACAATACTATAATAGGGCTCCACCCAGGGCGCTGCCCCCATACTGTTGTGTGACTGGGTCCTAATGCTTGCAGGATGACTAACCCCATTCCCCTGACCAACACTTTGGTCTGGAGATACCATCAATGGGTTACCGCCATACCCACCAGAAA